GACTATATAGTCGCAAAGGACCGTTTGGAGGTTTGTTATATGTTGCATATTCTGGTCACTTCCTTGTTTGTTTGTGATCTTCCCCACGTTGTTTCGTAAAATATCTCTTCGTCAATCTAGGAAAAGGAAGCGAGGCATTTCCTTCGTCAGATTGTGGCAGCTGTGGGCTACATGCATGAAAAGGGCTATGCACATCGGGATTTAAAACCTGTAAGTGAAGCTAAATAAACTCCGGGTACCTTGGTTTATAAATTTTTAATTGATTTTTTTTCGGGGGTCGGTACCCCAGATCACCAATTTTCAAAAAGCAGTTGGTGGGGTGTGAGGGAGGTGCATGTGCAGATCCCTCTAAACACATGCAGACAGATATGGCGTCAGATTTCCGCCAATATTCATGTTGATATTAATTCAACATGTTTCCGTATTGAAGTGAATTTCGACATTGAACATATCAAATTCAGCATGCCACTTTAATTCAACATTGCTTCAATTTCAACATGTTTCTCTCATTGATGTTAATTTGAATATTGAACATGTCAAATTTAAGTGAAATACAACATTGAAGTATAGATATTGAAGTAATTTTCAATGTTGAAGTTTCAAAACATGTTGAAAACGCATCACTACATGAATTTGAGAAGTGAATATTGGCGGTTATATAGCACGCGTTAAATATCCGCCAATATTAATTAGCACTTGCTATGGCGGCTACGAACGAGCGGAATCAGTGATGAAAATCATGGTGCACTGAACATTATTGAGGATATAATATCACGATTAGACAGCTAGCCTTGGTGACCCAGATTGTGTAGAGGGATTGGCAATACGATTTGACGTTTTAAAGAGATATCTTGCTGGATAGGGTTTGCAAAAATTTAAACCAATTTGAGCAGCGGCAGCGCTATTCCGCCATGAATAACTCTGCATTTCCAGCACAAGTTTATGCCGTGGAAAACCTTCGTAGGTCCTTCGTATGCTATACACGAGGGGCAATTGAATTTTTTATAGCGAAGTAAGCAGTATGATGGGTGTACGCAAAATAACTTTGGAGCGGCGAATGAGGTCATTTGACACGAGTATGTCAGGTAAGAAAGTTATGGCTTATACACATCCTATACATGGCCAACACAGTGGTTATGCAGCACTGTATATGTTAAACCCAAGTCGACAAACCTAGGGAAACTGATGTAAATGTAATGCATACATGTAGATGAAACCACAACTTCCTTGTGTGGGGATTGGTGTTAGTGAAAAAATCTAGACACTGACCTCTGAATTGGCGAAGACTGATCAGGTCATTTGCGGTTTGCCGACCTTAAACGAGAACAGGACTGGAAAGCTCAGTTTTCAATAAAATTCAAGTTTTCATGAATTAATCCAAAATGCCAAGTTCCTGGAGTGGACGGACTGCCACCAACCGCCCTGCTGCCACTGACATGGGCTTTTTATGTCTGCTCAGCAGTGCATTACTATAAGCTAACCTTTTTCTTCAAACGGTAAAAAATGAAGTGCAGATGAAAGATGTAAATACCTAGGTATTCTCGTTCTCATTCTATGCTGTATACGTAGTTCTGTATAAAACTTAATGTGCAGTCAATCATATTAAATCCTGATGATAAGACGCTATATACACACTACGTGTTGCATATATAATTACTGTGTTGGCCGTGTAGGATGTGCATAACTTTCTTACCTGACACACTCGAGCCAAATGACCGCATTCGCCGCTCCAAAGTTACTTTGCGTACACCCATCATACTGCTTACTTCGCTATAAAAAATTCAGTTGCCCCTCGTGTATAGCATACGAAGGACCTACGAAGGTTTTCCACGGCATAAACTTGTGCTGGAAATGCAGAATTATTCATGGCGGAATAGCGCTGCCGCTGCTCAAATTGGTTTAAATTTTTGCAAACCCTATCCAGCAATTCCAAAGTGCATGCAGATGTCGTCCATTCTAATATTTACAAGATATCTCTTTAAAACGTCAAATCGTATTGCCAATTCCTCTACACAATCTGGGTCACCAAGGCTAGCTGTCTAATCGTGATATTATATCCTCAATAATGTTCAGTTTTATATCCACCATAGTGCACCATGATTTTCATCACTGATTCCGCTCGTTCGTAGCCGCCATATAGGAATATGCCAGGGGGGAAGTTTAACGAAGTGTTAATTAATATTGGCGGATATTTAACGCGGTGCTATATAACCGACAATATTCACTTCTCAAATTCACGTAGTGATGCGTTTTCAACATATTTTGAAACTTCAACATTGAAAATTACTTCAATATCTATACTTCAATGTTGTATTTCACTTAAATTTGACACGTTCAATATTCAAATTAACATCAATGAGAGAAACATGTTGAAATTGAAGCAATGTTGAATTAAAGTGGCATGCTGAATTTGATATGTTCAATGTCGAAATTCACTTCAATACGGAAACATGTTGAATTAATATCAACATGAATATTGGCGGAAATCTGACGCCATAGACAGAATGGAATCTCTATTTTCTAGCCCTCCGCAGAACGGACATCTCAAAACAACGGACAGCGAACCATTCCGTAGAATGTTACAAATATATTGAAGAGCCTAAACAAGTTTTATAAGAAGTACGACTGAAAATTAATCTCAAACTAACCTCAAATGAATAAAGAGCGATTCCCGTTTAATGCCAGGAATTTTTACTTCTCAATTAAGACAGCATTAATGGACCCTTACCATTTTCATGTCGGATCAAACGTAAGCCACGGCAATCACAGTTGAATGAATGCAATAAGATCAATTTATTTTTAATTTTAGGAAAATCTTTTATTGGACGAGAACCAGGTAAGTGAGCATATAACTGCTATAATAATATTTGCTTCACTGCCATGTTAATTACTAAGTTGCCAAACTCCGAATTCCCGAGTGTATGTTTAAAACGAAGGAATAGGAACAATATACAGGAGGGTCTTCCAGGAATAGGAACAATATACAGGAGGGTCTCCAGGAATAGGAACAATATACAGGAGGGTCTTCCAGGAATAGGAACAATATACAGGAGGGTCTCCAGGGAGTATATGTGCTTCTATATTCACTTTAAACGTTTTATATTGTTTCTTTGTTCCCAAAAGAATTTCAACATGTTCCTTTGTTCCTCAATTGTTTCCTATACGATTTTTCGTCTTTGTTTGCGTATTCCCATTGCTAAGAATAACTAGGAACCCCTTCGGAAATTGGGACTCCCATATACATGTATGTAGGAAGACTAAGATTTAGCGAACGAAGATATACATTAATAGTAGCGTCAAATGAGTGGCAAGGAGTTCTATTACATTCGTTTTCAAAATTACAGTACCTATACCAAAAATAATCTTAGTTCAAATCTCAAGCATAAGTCACGCGAACTACTAAAAATAGCAAACGTACCTAGAGAAGAATTTTGAACCCAAGTAAGTTAAGTATACAAACTAAAAGAAATAACACACCATCACAATAGAAATCTGTGTCGTGAATTACTTTTATCGTTTACAACTGAAAAAGAATAATTTAACCTCGAATTTAACTGCGCATCAAACCCGCTTGCGCTAGACTATAGCGGTATCATTTTGATTTTGTTGTGGCAGTAATTTTCACTAAAATATCTTGAAAATCCTTCTAAACGTTTTTAATATAAAACATATACAAAGCAAATGCATGCATGTGACATAAAACTGACATGCCAACTCTGGCTATGTTTGGCGTGGTCGCGTAATTTTGAAAATTGGTGTAGTATCAATTATGTAAATGAAAGTTGAAGAGTTAAGCTAAAGTTAAAAGTTAGGATAAAACGACAAGCAATTATAATAAATGTGACCGGTGAGATGACCATGCATGAGTGAGGTGAACGGTCGCATATGAATTTTAGAAAGTAGCGTCCTAGAGTACTTATTCCGATTCAGCCAGCTTTCCCACTGTAAGTGTGTGATAGATATATCTCTCATCACCAGGATATAAAACTTATTGACTTTGGATTGGTCGGAAAGCCAGAGGGAGGGATGTCACAGCAACTTGAAACATGTTGTGGATCACCAGCCTACGCTGCGCCAGGTAGGCATATTAAGCTATTTTTACCAATTGTATTATAATATTTTATATCGGAATACAGTATTCAGTGACGTAACCGAGGGGTGTTAGGTGCTCAGTGCCGGGGGGTCCCCAAGCTTGGGGGTCCCCGACAAAAATGACCATAAAATTTTTGCTATTACATTGGGTAAATTGGTCCGAGCCTCAGTTGTGTGGGGGGCTAGAAAATTTGCAACGGGTCACCCCCAAAATCAGGAATTGGTAAAATTGTGAATTTTGGACCCCTTTTTTACATGTCATAGTCCGGAAAATTTTTTTTAACCTTTTTTTAAGGAATCGAAAAAATTTTAGTTTTCCCAATTGGTCCCACTTAAAAATTTTACGGGGGCCTGACGAGGTTCCGTTACGCCACTGACACTCAGATTGTCCACCGCTCAGAGTTGTTGCCAGGAGACAATCGAATTTCGTGACTTTCACGTGATACGCTCTCGTCCAATGAGATGCAAGAAAACATTAACTTCGACACTTGGTATATAATAAAGAGTTTTAATGTCTTGACATTCTTTTATAAGGGATTTTGTGAGAATTAATATATCGAGCATTAATAAATCGATTATTATAATTTTTTTTCCGGGGGCTGTCCTCCTTTCTGTAGTGGAACCGACTTTCCTCTAATGTTTGCGAATGAGCTATATAGATGTAAAGCATTTGAACAAAGTCCCTTTTCGGGATTGGCTTTTGTGCCACACTACAATACCAAAGAAAGAATATATATTTTTATGTCCAAATTTGTTTGGAAATCTACCAAAAATGGTGTTTAAGAGTCGTTACATAATTGCAAAGTATCCATTGCCATGTTAGGTTATTTCTTCAAGAGAATGTTTGACGTTTTCAATGCCTTAAGCCGGTTTTCCACTAGCGAATTTTCTCGCGCGAAGCGACCTTTATCCTTTGTCGGTATCACTTATTACGTCAGCAAGATGTGGCAAAATGGATGCCGACAAAGAGAAAAGGTCGCTTCGCGCGAAACAATTCGCTAGTGGTATACCGGCTTTAGACTATATTTCCTGCGTTTCCTGATAAATATTCCTGGGTAAATAACATGTAAATTCGCCACAGTTTCTCATTATTCTTTCAATCAATGGTGGCGTCGAAGACGGAAGACAGCTCTAAAAGGGTCTGGGGGAATTGTTTATTCGCACCATTTAATAGTTTTGTTTGTGGAAACACCACTTAAATTTATTACTGCAAAGCTTTCGATCCGTAAGCCCGGATCTTCTTCGAAAGCTTTGCAGTAATAAATTTACGTGGTGTTTCTACAAAGAAAACTATTGAAAACTAAATGTTTTATCGCCATGCAAACTTACAAAGAACTTATTGCACCCATTTGTTTATCTCTTTTCGATATATTACATGCATGCATCTGTTCTGGATCAAAACTGGACCGACAATATTAATACCATGAACGTTTCAGGACCGACTTTTAGGACTGATTTAATAAAAATCACCCTTGCTTCCCCCCCCCCCCTGTAGCTGTGCTGAATGACTGAAAGTCATCATTGAGTCCAGCCCTGACCACCAAGATTACATACGGTGTTTGGTCATGCAAAACGTCTTGTACAGTCTTTATGAAACGCTGCGTTTCAGTTAGTCAGTGAGAAGTATATTTTATTCGTTATATGAATCCTGCTTTGAATTTTAGTATTTTTTTCATTTTACATCGTATATCGTGCTTATCAAATGCTGAACGAATTTTTAGTACAGTATTTAATAGCACATAGACTATACATAGCTCACATTTAATTGTGATAAAATAATTAGGAGAAACATCAGTTCTTATATTTTTTAATTATTTTAAATTAATCTTCATTCTTTTGCAGAATTAATATCTGGTGTTCCGTACTTTGGCAACGAGGTAGTGTTTAGTTTTTGCATAAATCTTACATGAAATTATGTTGGAATTCATCAATGTTAATCGTTAAAACACACAGAAATTTTTCTGGGTGTCTGACTGCATTTTGAAGGAGCGTATTTGCTCATTGCCACAGGCAGTATACGAAACAAATTGGGAAGAACTATAAGACTATATAGCACATATCTTGAAACATAAACATGATATAAAACATGCTAACTTTAAACCATGTTTTACGTCGCATTCGATTACATTTTATGCTTCAAACGTATTAATTTCATTGGTAAAAGAGACAGAATTATTTAGAGAACATCATGTTTCTATATAAATACCGATTGGTTTAAAATCGAACCTGAACAGGAAACCATCTTAGCAAATAACCATGCAGAATGCATGTAGATTAACTTGACGCTCTGCATGCTTGTCCGTGTTGCGTGCAGTAGTAAAGTTTGCACGAATTGTTTTCAGGCCAGAAATTTCTAATTTGGTATTCTGGTACAGTTGACTCGAACATTAAAAGTCAAATATTGCTTTCTATAATTTTAAATTCATATATCTGTTTCTAGGCAGACCTATGGAGCCTGGGTGTCCTGCTCTATGCTCTCTTGTGTGGGTTTTTGCCATTCGACGACGACAATACTTACAATTTGTACAAATCAATTCAAGTAAGTTGTACAGTACACTCTAAACACACTTTAATTGGCAAAAGTGTTCCTGCTGGACCTAGAAATAACTCTATATAGGTTATGTTTCGGGTTAAATTTAGTCGTTAAATTTCCTTATTTTAACCTGGTTATATTTGACCTGCATGGGCTTCCAAGTGAAATTAACCAGACTACAATTATGCTACGTTGATAGCTACCCAGAGGCTCCGATTGCATATTACCTGACATAGTCTGCCGGTTATTTTAACAAAGACGTCTTGGTGAAATATAACCAGATTCCTGGTTACATTAACCAGATTGTGGTAAGAAATGAGATCAAATAACCAGGAAATTTAACCAGGAATATTATAAGTTAGTCCAAAGCAGTGGCGGAAATTCATTTTTCCGGTGGGGGGCAAAGCCTCCTAAATTTCCGACAAAACGTTCAAATTTCCGACATACCCCCCATTTGCACTCGAAAAGACTGTTTTTAGCCCTCTTTTAGATCAAAATTTCCGAAAATTCGTCAATTTTCCGGAAGGTGGAGGGGGCGGCGCCCCCCCCCCCCGCCCCACCAAGATTTCCGCCACTGATCCAAAGAGTGTTGTTTCTAGGTCTAACCAGGAGATTTTAACCAGAGCTTTTCTACTTTACAAGATTTGCCAGACACAACAAACGTAAATAACACTAAAAATTAAAAAACATACAGTAATGGCAGGGGCTGATCACAGAGATAATCTCTCACAACGGAGTTCAAGTGCATGCATTACTCTGCATAGGCGGAAGAGTGATCGGGGCCGAGAAAGCGCTAGTGCTGAAGTTAGGCGCAAAAATAGAAAGAAAGGATAGCGAAAATGCTATCGGATAGCGAAATTATAATAGTTTGGCGTGTATTCATATCGTCCGATTTGCAGTTTTAATTTAACCTTTACTTGATGCGTTAATTTAGAAAGGAGAGTATGAAATACCCGACTTTTTATCCAAAGGTAAGTGTTCTTATTTATGTATTATGTTCATATTAGAAACAGAAGTTACTTTATGTGACGCAGGAGTTAGATAACACTGCAATTCATGCCTGTAGATTTTATTTTCGTAGATTTTATTTTCAAGGTTATTTAGCTAGTATAGCTCAAGGTTCGGATAGCTAGCCAATCATTTTCAGAAGTTGTTAGGACACTTGTTGTTTTAGACCATCAGTGGATATATATGAATATTTATTACAAGCAATTATATCCCCCTCGTCTTCCCTCTCCCTATTCAATGTTTGTTTACCCGATCACACAACCAAAGTAAGATGTTAACTCAATAACTGAGACCCAACATTGAAAGGTGGGTGGAGGATAGATGTTTTTCAAAATAAGAGGCAGTTATGGCATCTGTCCAATCACATTTGTAATCTTAGTACCTTCAAATTATTTGGATTTGGAAAACACATTTTGAATTTGGAGTTTGCCCCGTAAACTATGTAGGTAGGGGTTGTTCCAAATAGCTCCCTATTTAACTTTGCTGTATCGAATTTGTTTGGTGACATTTTGTTATGTACCTAAATTTATCGACATTGGTTCACAAATGTTGTTACTGCTTGTAGGTCTTGATAATTGCTATAAGCTGTATAGTATTTTGCTTAATTTGTATGATTCCAGTAATTTCTCGGATGTTATTTTTAAAAAAATCATTCAATTTATGATAAAAGGTTACCTTTAGTTATTTTATTTTTTAGGAAGTATCTCCTTGATTGGCAAATTGTTGCAAGTAAGTTATCTTCAAGTTGTTGCAAAACGGTTTTTGCTTCATTCACGTGTGGATTTATTCGGTGAGCTTAATAGTCATGCTGTGTGTAATATAGGTCGATCGATACAAAGTGGAACGAAATTTAGCACCCCTTTCTTTTGATTACATGTTAAATTAAATTCAAATATGACTTAATCAAAGATTTTGAAAAACTTTGACAAAGGGCGCCATCTTTTTCACCACATCAAGGAAAATATATTGCCACGCCCACGGTAGTGGTCTTGAGAATGGTACCAATTATATAGTAGTCGTTCCATGGCACCTTATACTTTTAATGAAGGGGTTAATGGATATTCAACTTTGAGTTCAAATTTCTCGAAATATAAATTATACAGTGTTTCTGGCCAAGTGCATGAGCTTGGCAAAACAACCTTATTTGCTAATTTTCAACATTCATTGCAATGCAATCCTAAAAACTGGTGTAGAATTTCGCACGTTAAAGTTCTTTCTATTACTCCATAAAACTGTTATATTTTTAAAACTATAGTTCAACGTTTGTGGTCAGGTTTTTCTCGAAAAACGTTTACTTTATACTAATAATACTGATTTTACGTTTAGACAGATCCTAAACAACGGTTGACTGTCAAACAACTTTTTATGCATCCATGGTTGAACAAAGGATATGCTAATCCTGTAAATTCAAAGGCACGAGTAAAGGTATGGTCTTATGCAGAATTTTGAAAGGTCTTTGTTCAATTGTGTTGCTTTTTTGTACACCGATCGTGGTTTCTGTTTGTACATTAACGTCAACGTAGTTCTCTGCATTAACTCCAAGTATATATCGATATATTTTACGGTGGAATAATGTTAACCAATAAAGGCGCTCAAGACTATAACGATTATAATATTCCATGCACTTGGTTATGACTGAAAATTTTAAATTTTTGATACGTTTCTCAAACGGCAAACAAACTAAAAAGTATGTTTAGTGCTTTATCTGTAAAGTAATGCTAAAATGAAGAGATTTTGGATGATATTCCCCCAAGAGAAAAAGATGTCTGAAGTTCGGTACGTTTATATTGCTGTTATAAACATGGCGTCAATTTTAAAGCATCTTGATAAGTGTACTTTAATTTACAATTTTTGCAATTATTTGTTTCTCCTCAACTGGCAGATGCATTTAAAATGGGTGCTAACTGTGTAAACTAGAAAATAAAGTTAAAACAAAGTATTTTAGAGAGGTACGCCAAAACGTTTTGCATGAACGCTTTTCAATGCAAATACACAACATAGAAAAAAATTGCCTATGTTTCTTTTATTTTCTCTTCTTATCTCTACCCAGAAAGATGAACCTGACTCAGAGGTTATTAAAGAACTCGCTTTATTCTATGGCGTATCACCCTCCACCATGACGTCTCTTGTTAAGGAGGTAACTGACAACTTCGTTTCTTATATATTTTAACGTTTACCTGTTTTTAAACGTTTACCCATAGTCAAGGTACCGGTCGTTATTTATGGGGGGGGGTGGAGGAGGGGGCACCGAAGAGAAAAAGGAACGACATTTTGAATAAATGAATGAAAGATTGTGTAATTGAAAGACAAAACAACTCAAGGGTAGGGTAATAAAAATTGGAGACTAGAAAGCAATCATGTCAACAGTCACATGTCAATACAATATGGAAATCAATTAATCAATCAAAATGGTGTTTCCAAAGAAAGTGCATGTGCAGACGGCATGAAACATTACACTGGTAAAGGTCATTTGTGACAACTGAATTAACGGTATCCTTTTGAAAAGCTTTTGTTGGCCAGGAGTGGGTATTTACTTTTTAATTGATATCCGAGGTTGACTTTTTAATGATTGGATCAGCACAATTATTACCAAGAAAACAATTTTCTTCGATGCCCCCCCCCCCCATAAATAATGACCGGTCCCTGAGAAGGGTATCACACAAACACTGAAAATTGAAAATTGAAAGTAAATTACTGCATTTTCCTTATAATTTTTTCACTTTAGTAATAGTTTGTGTAATTGGAAAGAATGCATGGAGGTCACCGTGATTTTTCCAAATACATACATGAGGCAATAGACTATTTTAAAGTCAATTAGATGCGCCGTGTTGCCGTATCGCAAATGACAAGAGGTTAAAAAATTATTCAAAACGCCGTACGAGGTCCTACGGTCGAGGTTCTACAATTAACTTGGTGTACGTTTCATCGATGTTAACGTACGATTTTCTATAACCTAGTTTTACCCATGTTCTCTGTTGCATTTATTTCCTGTAAGAAATAAAAATGTTTCGCGAGCGCGCCTACAAGTAGCAAATTCCTGTCAACTCAGGTACTAACGGTCTAAACAACGTATTGTAATACGAATGTGTGACGATTTGCTGAAAAGCATGGATAACGGAGAATTAAATTGTGTAGTTTTCCTTGACGTTAGAAAAGCCTTTGATTCCATAAATCACGAGATACTGTTAGACAAAATGCATAATTTCTTCGGAATAACGGGAACTCAATTAAAATGGTTTGAATCATATTTGAATAATAGAGTACAGCAATGTTTGATTAATGGACAACTTTCGAGTCCGAAAACGATTACATGTGGAGTTCCCCAGGGGTTTATCATGGGTCCTTTATTATTTTTATTATATATAAATGACATCCCTGATCCATTAAGCTACTCAGTTTCATCCCTCTATGCTGACGATACAGAAATATATGCTTCCTCTAACAACTGTGATGGCCTTGTAGATAAAATAAATTTTGATCTTCAAAATATACATAAATGGATGATTGAAAACAAGCTTCAGACGCACTCTAATAAATCTAAACATATGTTCATCCAATTGGATCATCCTATAACCTTAAGAATAAAATAACTAGGAAACCTATTCTAATTAATAATCAACCAATTCCCAGGACAGATAGTTACTCGTGCCTAGGCGTGAATATGGACGAAACATATTCATAATATATGTTCAAAGGTTGGTGCTGGTATTGGTGGAATGAGATAAATTAAGCCTTTTGTCCCACTACCGACACTAAAAATGTTGTATAATGCCATCGTGCAGCCTTACTTTGATTATTGCTGTCCGTTATGGAATAATTGCGGTATTGGAATTAAAAACAGGCTGCAAAAATATCAAAATCGGGCTGCAAGGGTAATTACTGGGGCAAACTATGATGTTCGATCGGCTGATTTACTTAAAAACTTAAGGTGGGAACCCTTAGAAGTAAGACGCAACTACTTGAAAGCTATTTTCGTGTATAAAATAATTAATGGCCACACCGCACCTAATCTAAAAGAATCGTTTCGATCAAACAACGAAATAGATAATTCTTACAATCTCAGAAATAGAGAAACTGACTTAGCACTTCCAATGCCAAAGAAAGAATTCGGCAAGAGGTGCTTTAACTATAATGGGGCCTCACTGTGGAACAATCTTCCCCAGGAGGCAAAAAATTCAGAATCGTTAAGCTCTTTCAAAACAATTTTGAATCAGAGAATTTGTTGAATCTGGCTCATCAAAATATATTAACCTCTAAGTAGTACAACTGTGCTATTATTCACTTGTTGCTAATGTGTTTTATCCTGTAAATAGTTCTAAATCACGCCCTTCATGAAAATCAGTTTGTAATGTTGTTGAGGCTAGCGTGAATAAATAAATTTTGTATGTATGTATGTATGTATGCGTTAAGTGTGCGTTCCGTACGTTTCCTTGGTTACTGCATGGGCGTACACCAAACATTTTTCGGCATACAATCGTACGTCCGTACTCCTATTTTAAAGCCTGTTTTCCACTTCAACCGTTATCGTAACGTACCGTAGCATTTCATTTTGTGTCGAAGTCATTTAGTTCCACACTACCGCTCAGGAAACAAAGAAATACGCTACTTTCGGTACGATACGATTGAAGTGGAAAACTGGCTTTAATCTCTTGTGAAACATAAAATCTCAAGTGTTATATTTCCTTGATTTTTTTAAAAACTGTAGCGACCACCGTTTTATATATTTAATAATACAGTGCAGAATTATATTGTGCTAACAGGGTATTTCTATTTTCCCCCCCAAAATTAGTATCAATTTGACGATTTAACGGCTACTTATTTTCTGCTGTGTAAGAAGAAAAGTCATGGGGAACCTCTAAAGTTTACGAACAGTTGTATCAAGTAAGTAAATCAGTCTTTGGTGGTTTTATTGTGAACTTGTGTTTTCGATAGGTTGCTCATACCATTTCGCAGAACGTGTAACTTTATTGCATGAACATAGTTTAATTTATTTCCACTCTTTTCTATGAAACCAGAGCGCAGCGGAGGAAGAGGAAAGACATGTTAGCACTCGAGGTGTGTGTTTGTTACTTAGCTACATTTGAATTCTAAAGAGACACCTTTCAGACAAATTTAAACATGTCCATGCAGTGGTGGAAATTCACTTTTTCCAGTGGGGCGGGGGGGGGGGAAGCCTCCTAAATTTCCGACAAAACTTTCAAATTTCCGACAACCCCCCCCCCATTTGCACTCGAAAAGGCTGTTTTTAGCCCTCTTTTAGGTCAAAATTTACGAAAATTCGTCATTTTCGCGATTTCCACCACTGTGTCGATGAATAGAGATTTGTCTACCCATACTTCCAGTAAGCAATATCCTGCATAGGAAACAGTCAGTCGGTTGGAGGAAAGGCAAAATAAGCACACACAGTACTGCAGTGCATTGCCCTTGAGCATGTACGCGTACTGTTCTAGACATACTATTTGAATACATATCAAGGCCTATGATTCCGAACAAAGGAACAGATAACAAACTAAAAGACTAACAAACTCAAGCAGCGAATATAAAGTGATGGACTTTAGTCCTCGCAGAGTATATTTTTTTATTTTCATGCAACAGGTTGAGAAAAAGAATGCGTGTCATTTTTAAGTATCTTGCTATTGCTTCAATATTTACGTTGCTGCAATGCTTATTGTATTTGCATTCATAGGCAAATAAATGTTGCGTTATACGATTACGATTAGCATTTCTATAACGCAAATTTATATATGGATATGATCAAATGCGCTTTACATCAAGTATTATACGGAGTACCTAATTTACATTATTACATACTCAGCATAGGCTATTTTGTCTTTACAACAATTTACAACCTTACATTCCATTGCGAGTTATATGGGTGTCTGTATTTCAGACACTCTTATATTGGATTTGAGTGCCCACCCTAACAACGTTCCCTGTGGGCGGAAACCGGAGCACTCGGAGAAAACCCACGACTTTCGGCAGAGCGTTACTCGCTATTCACTCCATGCAGTCCGCAGCGAGAATCGAATCTACGAACTCAGAAGTGAAATGCACTTGACAAAATCACATAAGTCTACGACTACGCGCCACCGCATTCCTTACCCTTATGTTTTATTTGTAACTTGTTAAATAATTATGTTGTGTATTTTTATAGAAAAAGATAAGTGAATCAAGGGAAAACATAGAGAACGAAATATACCATGACAATCCACCTTCGATCTTAGTTGATGACGAAGACGACGTTTTCTCAGCTGATCTTCGCGACTTCAGAAAACCAAGAGCATGTACTCTTCCCCCTGAATTTATGGGAACTCCTCCAATTAATGAAATGCCAAGTGCTACACGTACGTCACCTCCTAGAACTTTCCTGACTCCTTCCCTTCCAAAGAAAGGTCAGTACTTTTAGTTTTATATGTGCAATAGTTAAAAGTATAATGTCCTAATATTTGGTAACAGTTTCGCTATCCTGTGTTTTATATATTTGTCTACGATCGAGCTTTTGTATCGGTTGAATTG